GCTTGCTCTTTTCAGTCCCTCCTTCCTACCATGTCCTCTCTCATGCTTGGAACTGTTCTTTTCCAAATCCTGCTGGTCATTCCAGTCCCTGCTTAAGTACTGCCATCTCCTTTACAATTTTCTGTCACCTGCCTCAGCTCCAAGTTTCTGAATTATCTTTCTCCTTGAGCTTTAATTCTTTCTCTGAACTCTTGTCATGCTTACTCTTTTTTACGCTTTGTGTTATTTGGGTACACGACTTTTTCACCTCTTATTCTGAGTCCTTGGAGTTCTTCCTAAGCACTTAGCAAAGTACCTGATATGTTGTAGGCAGTTAGCGACTGTCGGGATGAGGAAGCCTGATTAAGAGGTGACAGATTTCCTTGGAACTGAAAGGACAGGAAAGCAGCTGCTAGATCTGGAAAACAGGTGAGTTTCCTGATGCCAGACAAGAGCTATTACGGTTCTTGTTGGGTTCTTGTTGCAGTGTGCGCTCGACAGGCAGTCACTGTCATTGGGTGTTTTACATATGTTCACTCCTTCCCTCTAGGCAGAGGACATTCTTCCCTTACTACACTTACAGTGAAATCCAAATTCTTCAGTGGCCCTTACAGGATTCTTCAAGTGGCCCTCTGTTTCCTTAGCCAGGCTCAGCATGGCACTAACTCTTCTCCTCTTCTTCATCATCTTTTTTTTTTTTTTTTGTACTTGATATTGAACTCAGTGAGCCCACCCCCTGCTTTTTGATATTTTGTTTAGAGACAGGATTTTGCTGAGTTGCTTAGGGCCTTGCTAAGTTGCGGAGGCTGGCTTAGATCTCTCTTGTCCTCCTGCCTCAGCCTCCCGTCCAGCTCTTGTCTTTTTTTTCTTGCCTTCCCTCCTCCACCCCTCCTTTAAATTTCACCCATGAATCCCACATTTGTGTTTTCCAAGGCACATTCCTATGAAATTTCATTGGATCTTACTTTCCATTGTCTTTCATAAGAGAATAGAGGGAATGAAATGCCAAGAAAACCTGACACTTTATCAAGTAACATCTTTGCGCACCACAGTGATGTCCACTGTAGGACTCACCTGTGCATGTTCAGAACAGTTTTCTTTTTTCTCTTTTGGTACCAGAGATTGAACCCAGTGGTTTTTCTTTTGAGACAAAGTATCACTAAGTTTCCGAGGCTGGCTTTGAACTCGACAGTCCTCCTGCCTCAGCCTACAAAGTTGCTGGGATCACATTTACGCGTATCCAGCCTGAAGTTTTCTTCAAGTAGTTTGCTAATCATACTCTGTTCAGAGTGTGCTAAGAGGTGTTTGTTGTCTGTCTTTGGAGAGAAACAAAATGTGCAATTTTAATAACTACTGTGGGAAGGGTGACTGGGTGACTGTTGTATATTTTTAAAAAGTTTAGCCACATGCTTGTTTTGTGTCTTTTTAAAGTAATTATACATATGTGTACTCTGGGGAGTTGCTATTTTTATTACTATAATTTTTTTTTCAAAAACAATCAGTTTGGTGCCATGGAGCATGCCTGTAATCCTAGTGGCTTGGGAGGCTGAGGCAGGAGGATCATGAGTTCAAATCCAGCCTCAGCAATAGTGAGGCGCTAAGCAACTTAGTGAGACCTTATCTCTAAATAAAAAATACAAAATAGGTCTGGGAATGTGGCTCAGTGGTTGAGTGCCCCTGGAAAATGAAGGGAAAAAACTCCAAATACCCGTAATAATAGCCATTTGGGATTGCCATTTTAAAATAGGTTTTACCAAGTAACCTCATTCTCCAAATCAACCTCTTCTGGGATGGGGTGTTTCCAAATATGCACCTTTAGTTAATGTTGTTAATAAACAGCTCTTTCTCTGTGTATGAAGGTTATTCACTTTACTCCATGACTAAAGTTTATGGATCATAAGTTTCTAAACTTAAAGAAAAACAACCAGTTTCAGTCAGTTCCTTGCTTAATTTCTAGAATACTTCTCCCAGAGCCCCATAGAAGTTGGTACACTTGAGTCTTTCTCAGCAAGGACAGTTAGGAAAAATAAAGGAAATAGAAATACAGAGGTCGAGTGGGCAGGAGTTTGCAATTGGTTGGATGTGGGAGATGAAGATGGTGAGCTCAAAGATACATCAGCTTGCAAGGCATGAATGGGAGACTTTCTAAGAGGTTCAGTTTTGGAATTGAAATTACTGGAGTCAAATCCTGTCTCTGCAATTTGTTAGCTGCAATTTGTTGGTTTGGGCAATGTTCTTAACCTCAGCCTCAGTTTTCTCTATTCCTACAAAATAGGAATCACTTAGCACCTATTTTGTTCTTGGTTTTTTTTGGCCATATTGGGGTTGAATTCTATGCTAGGCAAGTACTCTACCGCTGAGCTACATCCCCAGTCCCCCTCCCTTTTTATAAGAGAGAGAATTTTTAATATTTATTTTTTAGTTTTCGGCAGACACAACATCTTTGTTGGTATGTGGTGCTGAGGATCGAACCCGGTCCGCACGCGTGCCAGGCGAGCGCACTACCGCTTGAGCCACATCCCCAGCTCTATCCCCCCAGCCCTTTTTTTTTTTTTTAAAGAGAGAGTGAGAGAGGAGAGAGAGAGAGAGAGAATTTTTAATATTTATTTTTTAGTTTTTGGTGGACACAACATCTTTGTTTGTATGTGGTGCTGAGGATCGAACCCGGTCCGCACGCATGCCAGGCGAGCGCGCTACCGCTTGAGCCACATCCCCAGCCCCCCCCAGCCCTTTTAATTTTATTTCAGACAGGGTCTCACCAAGTTGCCCAGGCTGACCTCAAACTTGGGATCCTCCTGCCTCAGCCTTTTGAGTACTTGGGATTTCAGGTGTGCCTGGTTTAGCACCTACCTCATTTAGTTATTGTAGGGCTTAAGAGTGAGAATCCTCATACTGTGCTTAGCATGGTGCCTGAGTATTGTCCATTTTCAGTTATTAATGGTGATACTGTAGAGAATAGAGAAAAGGAGGAGCAGAGCACGGAGAGCTTAAGGAATGAAGAGGATTTCTACTGGACAAGCTGAGGGCAGTATACTCTGCAAAATCCAGAAGATGGAGATGTGGGCCTGCCCTAGACAGTAGCTTTCCATTTGTTCTCTGAAAGTTTCCTGGAAGGTCTCACAGCTCCCATGGTTTGATCCTGTGAAAAATGATCACCTGAAAAAGCTTGGGTTGAGCGCGCTTGACTGACTGCAGAGTTTTTGTGTTTTTAGCCACTGTTGTCTCTCTGGTACTGGGCCCAGGGGTAGGGTGGGGCGAACCAGGTAAGCCCACCTGTCATCTGGGCATCAACCTTGTTGCCCTTGTCTGTGTCCACACTGAAAGGTGCTCCTGTCTTGGGGACCCATGTCAGCTGCCTCAACAGCAAAGCCTAGTGTCGAGAGTAAAGCCGCTGTGAAATTAAACTCCATATGGTTCCTCTAGGTTTTATTATTTATTTATTTTTTCTTATTTCAGATCATCAATGCGGTGGTACTGTTGATTTTACTCAGCGCCCTGGCTGATCCAGATCAGTACCATTTTTCAAGTACTGAACTAGGAGGGGACTTTGAGTTCATGGATGACGCCAGTAAGTACATCAGATAACAATTGTAGTTATTTTGGGATTTACAAGGGCAGGGAAGCCAGCTGCGTGTCCTTCCTATTAGGTAACAAATATTGATTCACAGGCCCCCTTGAGCTGATACTTGAGCTCTCTTTTCCTTTTTAAAAATGAAGTCAGTGGAATAGTTTTTGTGCTGCCCATGTTTTATCTTTGCTCTGAATTACTTTATCCATTTTTTAAAAAGTTATTATTTTGTTACAGGCTTTTTATGTGGCCTTTTGACCGATTTTAGGAGAAGGAATCAATGGCAGGAAGGAAGATTAAATGAAGTATGGGTATCTCATTGTGCATTTCGGTATTTACCTCTCTTCCAGGAAATGATGATGTTCCATTCTAGAAAGTCTGTTGCTCTTTATTTGTTGAATTTGAGGCCTCTTTCCAGCAAATGGGCTGTGGGTGTGGGGAAAGTGGGGAGGAGGCACCAGCTCCCAGGCATCTGCAGCCTGAGCATTGAACACGGTAGTCATGCTGCATTCCAGCTGAGGGGCAAAGCTGTGCAGAATGCTAGGCAGAAGATTGGGCACAAGTGTTTACATCATTTGGCTTTGAAAAATTCATGTGAGGGCTGAGGATGTGGCTCAAGCGGTGGCACACTTGCCTGGCATACTTGCGGCCCAGGTTCGATCCTCAGCACCACATACAAACAAAGATGTTGTGTCTGCCGAAAAACTGAAAAATAAATATTAAAAAAAAATTCTCTCTCTCTCTCTCTCTCTCAAAAAAATTAAAAAAAAAAAAGAAAGAAAAATTCATGTGAGTTGGAAGAAGTGGCTGGAAGGCAAATTAAGGAGGAGAGAGTGTGGCCCAAGGTACAAAGATACAATTTAAGAAGAGAACAGGAACATTTGAAAGATAGGATTGTGGATTTTATTCTTAGAATGAGAAAAAGCTATTCAGTGCTTTTGGTAAATGCATAAAATGATATGTATCTTAAGAAGTCCTTTTTTTTTTTTTCTGAGAGTGCATTTAGAGACTGACTGCAAGCACAGAGCCTGGGAGTTTGGTTTTGGGGCCATTTTTACAGTCTAGATGGCACTGGAGATGGAGAGACAGAAGTTGGTGGTCTGGGCAATAAGAGAAAGGGAAAGATCAAAGATGATTCAGTCTCCAGATTGACAAGATGACTGTTAGTCTTTAGAGGTGAGGAAGTCAGGGGTCAGGAGATGGGAACATAACTTGTGGGAGAAAACTAGACTTAAGTGACTCAACCCAGCATCCTTATTAGGCATGTAGACTCTATAGCTAGAAGCCAGTTTGAATCCTGATCCTGCCGTGTGTTAAGTTTACTAACCTTGATTTAATCACTTATCTTTGTGTGCCTTAGTTTCCCCCTCTGAAGGAACTAATAGAAGTTTCTACCTACTTAATGGGGTTGTAGGTGAAGATTAAGTGAGTTACTACATGAAAAGTGCCTAGCGTGCTTGCTTCAGCAGCACATAGACCAATATTGGACTCATATAGCCAAGATTAGCATGGCTCCTGAGCAAAGAGGGCATGCATTTTTGTGAAGTTTCCTTATTAAAAGAAAAGGAAACAAAGTGCTCAGAATGGGGTTTGGCCCATAGTTAAGTACTCCATACATTTTGCTGTCTGTTATTATTTAGATTTGTTGGGATTGAAACATGTTAGTTGTCCCAAAGTGGCTAGTTCAAAGAGGACATAAGTCCAAAAGAGGCATTAGTATTAAGGAGAGAGGAAAGAGAAAGGGGAAGGAGTCCCAGGATAAGCCCTGAAGGGGCCCCAACTGTAAGATCAGGAGGAGGAGAAACAGCAATAGGTAGCAAATAAATGAAGACCAGGAAACACGTTTTTTCCTAGCAAGGATTAAGAATGAGGGTGGGGAGGGCGGTGGTGGAAATGCCTATACTCCCAATAGTATGGGAGGCTGAGGCAGGAGGATCACCAAGCTCAAAGCCAACCTCAGCAAAAGCAAGTTGCTAAGCAACTCAGTGAGATTCTGTCTCTAAATAAAATATAAAATAGTGCTGGGGATGTGGCTCAGTGGTCAAGGGCCCCTGAGCTCAATCCCCGGCAACTCCCCCACCCACTAAAACAATCAAATAATAAAATAAAAAGAATCAGGGGCATTATGTTATCCTGGAGCCTGGGACATTGTCAGTCAGACATGATTTCTGCTGTAATATTTATTCCCTTTATTTTGAATAACTGTTGTTAATCTTACAAATTCTTCCAGAAAGGCTAATGAGTTCCATTAATATCAAAATAATCTCTCTCTGCTTTCCTTCTCTTTGAGTTTAAAGACTATGTAAAACTACATATGAAATGTTTGATTGATATTTAAAAGTAAATTCTCTTTTTTTTTTTTTAAATGTTTTTTTTTTTTTTAAGAGAGAGTGGGAGAGGAGGGAGAGAGAGAGAGAGAATTTTTAATATTTATTTTTTAGTTCTCGGCGGACATAGCATCTTTGTTGGTATGTGGTGCTGAGGATCGAACCCGGGCCGCACGCATGCCAGGCGAGCGCGCTACCGCTTGAGCCACATCCCCAGCCCCAGTAAATTCTCTTATGCTATGTTCAGGAGGAGGATTCTCCCTCTAAGGTCAATGAGGTTAGATAAATCTAAGTTTTGAGTGATTAACCACTGTGGTTCTATCTGGATCAAATGATAACACTGCATGTCTTGTTCTGACTGCCAGAGCATAAGCTGGGGAATGACTATGTGACAGGCTAAGCTTAATTTAGCTGCCTTCAAAGGCTTGCTGGTGCTTAAGACTTTAAAATAGTATTTGTTTTGTAATGTCCTGGATATTAATTCTAGTGCATTTGAGGTTTCTCTTGTGTTTCATATATCTGAAAAGATTAAATGAATAGTTGGTAATTACTTTTGAGACTATCATTTAAATCACAAAGTTAAGAAGGCACAGAAGAGAAGATGTTCACTTGAGTGAATCTATTTTTGAAACCTCTTCCCTTTTACATTTCCTTTCCATATGTTTTGATCTCCTTTAATAAGCTTGTAGGTATTAGGGTAGCTGGCACAAATATTCACAGAGACACAGCTCTAAGTTCAAGTAAATGTTTATTGACAGAGAATGTCTGCCAGGCGCCCTTCTGCCAGGCGTAGCAGGCAGAGTCACTTGAATAGAGGTTTCATATCTTTTTTAACAAGAGCAAGCCGACCTTGGGTGCAGCAAGCTAGAATTGACTTTGGGTACAGATGGCTGGGTAACAACAGATTCTTGTATGTAGGGACCTTGATGGTGAGGGGAAACAGATTATCTTTAATTTCTTTTTCTTTTCTTTTTTTTTTTTTTTAGAGAATTTTAATATTTATTTTTTTAGTTTTCGGCGGACACAACATCTTTGTATATGGTGCTGAGGATCGAACCCAGGCCCCAGGCGCTGAGCGCGCTACCACTTGAGCCACATCCCCAGCCCTTAAGTTTCTTTTTCTTGACAGTTTATAAGTTTCTGTTCTGAGTCCTAGAATCAAAATGGAGTTACCTGATGTCCAGGTAGGCACCTAAGTCCAGTAGGTCAAAGGTCACTGTAATGGACAAGCCTTTAAATATTTAATTCAGGTGGATAGAATTAAATAGTCCTTGAGACTGGTACAATCAATTGTTCTAATCTGTGCTAGAAAAATAATACAAGTTAATATAGCAATTTTATGTTGCTCTGTTTTTGAATGAAGGTAGCTATTTGAAGACTTTATCCAGAAAGAACAGGGATTTATTTCAACTTCCCATGTGCTCTTTTCCTAAAATGATCTGCTAGAAGGAATCCTAATTGCTATTTACATAGGGATAACTCACTGGGATAAAGAAAAAAAAAATAAAGGAAATTCTCCTCATTTTTAAATCTAGTTCTTTTTTTTTTTTTGAAAAAAAAAATAAAATTCAGCAATGAATCTAGTCCTTTAACATTTCTTTTACAGAAATAGTGGTAGTAGTAATACGTGTTAATTTATAAATAATTTTTTTGTTTATAAATTTTTTAAAATTTATCAATGTGAGGAATGGTAAGAAACTGACAGGTTGGAGACTAATGAACTAACTCGCTACAGTATGGGGTTTGAGATTAGATTCTAGAACAAAATAAGGAATCACGGGGAAACAGTGCAACTAATGGGTAAAATGCACATAAAGTCTGTAATTAATCTGTAGTTTAATAACATTGTACCAATGCTGACTTCTTGGTTTGATCATTATACTAGGGCTAGAAAAAAATTTAACATTAGAGGAAGCAGGGAGAAGGGTATATGTGAGATCTCTGCTGTTTGCAACTTTTGTATGTCTGAAATGACTTCAGAATAAAAGGTCAAAGGAAAAATAATTTGATCTACTGACTTAGAAGACTGAAGAATAAAGCTGAGAAGGTGTGAAAGTGGCATATTGTATTATACACTCAGAACTTACTTTCTGAGAAGTTGACTCAGGATTTTATTTGCGAGATTTTAATGATGTGACAGTCAATTGTAACAACAAGGGTCCGTGCTATACTCACAATGCCAGACAGCAGATTGTCCAAATTTTACAGCAGATGTGTCTTTCCAGTCAAACTTATTCACTGTATCAACTTATTCACTTGGTCTGAAACAGGAAATGTGTGTTTTCCATGACCTGCTGGGTTTTTTAAATTTTTTTTTTTAGTTCTAGTTGAACATTTATTTATTTTTATGTGGTGCTGAGGATCAAACCCAGGCCATCGCATATGCTCTACCACTGAGCCACAACCCCAGACCTCATCTGCTTTTTAAAATGATATATTTTATTGTTTTATGTTTTTTTTTAAATATTTATTTTTTAGTTATAGGTGGACACAATATCTTTATTTTATTTTTATGTGGTGCTGAGGATTGAACCTGGTGCCTCATGCATGGTAGGTGAGTGCTCTACCTCTGAGCCACAACCCCAGCCTGTTGTTTATGTTTTAAAACTTTTGAAATTGGGACGTCATTTGTAATGTAGCCTAGATTTAATGTGAGGTCTATTTTTTCCCTTTCTAGATTCCCCTTCCAGTTTTTTTCATTGACAACATTTTTGGAGTTCTTGTTTTTTTTTCTAAAATTGTCTTATTAAATATTGATCAGGTACAAAATATTATTAAATATTTATAAAAAATGCCAAATCATCTACTACAAGTACTTGTATACCTGGCAGTTTAAGAAACTGAATTTTACCTTAACTTTCAGAGTCTTGTCTGCCCCTTCTTGATTGAACCATTTCCTATGCCCCAGAACTGCCTATGATTCATTTTTTTTTTTCTTCTTTATAGATGACCACATGTGTTTGCATCTGGAATTGATCTGTTGTTTAACTCTCAGGAGCTTGAACTTTGCAGAGTATTTACATAGTGTATGCATTCTCCCAGGACTTGCTTTTTCAGTTTTACTGTGTGTTAAAGATCATTTAGGCTCTTGTAAAAGGTGGTGCAGAAGACTTATTTAAGAGGGACTCTTGCAATGAGATTTTGTGCAGTGGGAGAGAGATCCAGCTCAACTCCCACTCCAACAAGGACGGATGGCGATTTCTATAGCCAAGGAGAAGGGTGGTGGTCAGTGGATGGAAAATTACTAAGAGGAAATATTAGGGTGGGGAGGTGGGTGTTGCTAGACTGATTCAGCAGGCCAGTGATAGGGAGGCTGAGGGTAGGAGTTTGATCAGATATTGAGGGTGATGATCAGGTACCAAAGATGAGAATTTTCTCTAAACTGACCCTGTAGGATTAGGAGGTTGAGGTTAGGAGTTGATCAGATATTGAGGGTGATCCGGTACCAAAGATGAGGATTTTCTCTACACTGACCCTGTGGGATTCTTGTACCAAATAATGGAGGCCTAGATGAAAAGTACTAGGGATTGAACCCAGGTCCTTCCACATGCTAGGTGCTCCACCATTGAGCTACATCCTGAACTCTGTTTTTTGAATTTCATTTTGAGACAGGTCTCCTTAAGTTGCCCAGGCTGGCCTCAAACTTGAGATGCTCCTGTTGCAAAGCTGGGACCTTCTGGGAAACTGAGGAAGCACAAAGACCTCCCTCTTCAAATCCTAATTCTTGCAATCAAGTCAGAAAGATTTCAGACACGTTGTCCAGAGTAACAAAAATGAATTTATTGAAGGGTCAGGATAAGGGAACGGAGACATTCAAGGGAGAGTGGGTGTTCTCAGATAGGAGAGGGACCATGTGTCTCTACTGCACTCCAGCAGTGTTTTTTCATTTAATTTTTTTTTTTTAAGACATTGGTGGACCATTATTTTATACGTGGTGCTAAGAGTCCAGAGTCGAACTCAGTGCCTCACGCATGCTAAACAGGCACTCTCCCATTGAGCCACAACCCCAGCCGTTCAGTTTTTTCTTTAATTCTTTTTTAGTTGTAGGTGGACATAATATAATGCCTTTATTTTTATTTATTTATTTTTATATGGTGCTAAGGAACCAACCCAGTGCCTCACCCATGCTCTACCACTGAGCCACAACCCCAGCCCCTGCACTTCAGTTTTGTTGGGGTCCTGCCTAGGTCCACCTCTTGACTTTTGACAGTGGGGATAGCAGACTTTCAAGTA